AGAGAAAAACCCGAAAAAGGAAAATATATAAACAGTACGACCAAAAAAAAAAAAAAAGAGCAAAACACAGTTAAAGAGACAGAGACCAACACTCTTAACTTGTTGTACAGATATGGAGTCTACAGGAAATGGTAGACATATGCAACTACGGAAGTGACGCATGAAATCAAATGTAGAAATAATTGCAGGTGAATCGTTTTCATTTGATTTAAGCGTGTTCGTATTTAATTTACCAACGACTCGAGGCCGAGAGAACAGTAGCAGAAGAAGGCACAAGCATCTCATCCTGGATGATCTTAGAGTCTAGTGCTGTATCTGAGATAAAGTCTTGTCTTGAGATCCTCTTGGTTGGGATGGATGCTGTTTTAATCGTAGTAAGCATGGTTTAAGTTATCCTTCATAATTTTTGAAGAGTAACTCTATCTGGCTCTCCCTATCACATGCACTAAATCACTGTTTAACTCCATCTCTCCATCATTCTCTCTCTCTCTCTCTCTCTCTCTCTCTCTGTCTCGCTGGTTCCCTCATTACTTGTCTCTCTCCTTCTCTCTTTAACTTTTTTCTCTTTCCCTTTGCCATAAAGTCTCTCCTTCTCTTCCTCTCTCTCTCTCTTTCCCAATCCCTCTCTTTCTCTCTGAAACTCTCTGTCTCTATGGTTCCCTCACTTATGGTCTGTCTCTTAAACTTATCTCAATCCCTTTCACCCCCCCTTTCTCTCTCTCGCTCATACTCTCTCTCACTCACAAACACACACTCTGTTTCCCTCACTGTTGGTCTCTCTCTTAAACTTATCTCTTTTCCATTCACCCCCCCTCTCTCTCTCTCTCCCTGTCTCTCTTTTTTTTTTCTGAAATCAAATAATTATGTAACCCACAAATTGAACTCAAACCTGAATCTCTTTAATCAATTAATGTATTGTCCAAATCACACAGATAGGAAAGGCCCTGAACTCTATTAAAATTATGCCGCACTTTTGCGTTTTCGTGCAGTATGGTGCGCCATCGGGCTTAAGTTCTTATGTTTAAAAGAATGCGTACGTATTTTAAAAAAAAAAATCCTTTTATAATTGCTTTGTTTTTGTTCGTGGCTGGCTGGGTGGGTGGCTAGTTGGCCGGGTGGGTGGCTAGTTGGCCGGGTGGGTGGCTGGTTGGCTGGGAGGGTGGCTAGTTGGCAGGGTGGGTGGCTAGA